TGGCTGCAGGCTGGGAGGAGAGGAAGGGACAGGAGCTGGCAGGCTACCCATGGTGTCCTGTGTGGCCCAGCAGCCTCCCTCAACTGCTGTCCCATGGTTTGTCTCCACTCTTCCCTTGTCCCCATCTGCTAAGAAAAGGAAGAAAGAAAGGCTTCCCTGAGCCAGAGCCCTCTGTGGGTCCTCACGTAGCAACCTGGAGGCCTAGGCTTGTGACCTGTCTCAAGGGCATGCTGGAGGATCTAAGTGGGACTCGGGGACAAGAAGGTCTAGTCCAGTGTATGTCCATCCCAGCTGTGGGCCTTGAGGACACGATCAGCCTCTGAACTTGGCGTTCTCATCTGGAAAGAGAGTCTGTTAATACCTCTGCCATGGGGTTGTTACAAAGATTAAATGAGAAAATGTTTGTGAAGGAACTTGGTGAGTCAAGCTGTCGTATGCATCCTAGTTATCTGCACTCTCCATTGCTTGAAATGAGAGCAATGAATAATGTCGACCCTCTTTTCCAGGAGCTGGAAAAGTCACAGCCTGCCTCTCCTACAACTGTGCCGAGCCTCAGCCCATCAACCCAAATCCTCCCCTGCCCTATGCTTGCTCCTCAGGCAGTATCTTTCAGCATTTCCCCCCACCTTGAAACTCTCCCTCTCTCATATTTACCTGTCTATAGCTACTTTCTTTAGTATCCACTTTCCAATCCATCTCTTTCAGAAAAAAATCTTTCCTCTGAAGGCAGAGTCAAAGCCAGATGACCCCTTTAGACAAATAGAGCTGCTTACACCAATGTGAAGAGCAGGGCTGGGTAGATTTGGTGAATAACAATAATAATTGGTAATAGTTAATAAGGACATTGCAAACATATTTAGAGGGTTTTTTTTTTTAACTAGGTAGCAGGCACTGTCTTTGGAGCAACTTACACCTTTTCATTCATTTATCCAGAGCAGGCTGGCCTTCTGGGAGTGAACAGGTACCCAACTCCTTCCCTCCTGACTCCCACCAAGCTTTCCTCCTCCATAGAATCTTCCCCATTGGCCCAGGCAGAATTAACATTCTCCCCTCCATGTCCACAGTGCTTGATCTATTGTTGACCTAATTTCACAAGCTTTTAATTATTTATCAAAGTGGCTGTCTCCCATTCTAGGCTGTGAACATCTTGAGGGTTAGGACCCTGTTACATTAATGGTTATTAGCCTTGGCATCCAACAGTGACTGGCATATAGTTGCTACTCATTAAATGTTTGTTGAGTGAGTGGAGTCATTAACACCATCTCTGTTAATGGAATTTTAAAAGCTGCTCTCCACCCCTCCCCATGAAGTCACTGGGTTGCATTTTCCTAGTCTAGTACTACGATAAACCTTGTCTACAGACTGTCTGTTGCCAGTCTGTAACAAGAGAAGTCAGAACCTGAGAGTGAGCATGGAAACGTTTAAAGCAATCTCATAAAGTAATTTTGGGTCTATTGGATTTACTTGCTTTCAAAATTGGGCTTTTATTTTGTGTGCCTTTTAAGATTTTTCATTTCTTAATAATTCATTCCTAGTGTATTTCTTTTCTTTTTGTGCAAGTGTCAGCTGTGGCAGATGAGAATTTTAAAAGAAAGGAAAAGCTGGTTTCTCACCGCACATGGCCTGAAAGACCATCTCTATGTACTGCAGCAGGGAGGGCTAAGCCAAGGGGGCGGGGTGGTGGTGGGCAGGCCTCAGGCCCTCCTCCATGGACCTCACCTTTTATCACTTGTTTTCCTACAGACAGATTTGCATTGTCTTTTATTCCTGTCTGGATTCCTCATATCTCTCCTTCTTCCAAAAATGGCAGGTTAAACAAATGAAAGTAGATTCTGGACCTGAGAAGGAAACAAGGCCAAGAGAGAGCTGGGGAGGAAGAACTGTGGACGGGTCAGGTTGGAAAAGAATGTTCAATTGGAAATGAGCTGGAGTGTGGTAAGGGGCTGCCCATGCTGCCCATGCTGAGCCATCAAGCTGCTGGGGCTACACAGCAGAGAGAGCCTAGGGAGGAGGAGGGTAGGGAAAGGCAGGCTGGAGGACCAGGAGAAATGCTGCTGCTTTACCATGCAGAGCAAATAAGAGCCAGGTCCTTGAAGGTGAAAGGAAGCAGTTTAGGGACAAATGAAAGGGAATATGGAGTCTTTTACGGAGAGGTTAAACAAGACTCTCTCATCATCCCTCTGCAACTGGCAAGATCAAACATAAGTAGGTCCTGGAGTGAGGCCAGGCCCTGTTCCCCACCTGGGGTGTTGGGTAGAGGTCAGGTAGAGGAGTGGAGAAAAGCAGTCAGGATGAAATGTGCTGCTAGAGACACTTCAGGAGAGCAGAAAGGTTGACTCTGGGCCCAAAAAAGGCAGAAGAGCAAGACTTGATTACAGCAAATCGATGGCATTAGCATATTTAAAGATCAAGTCAAGGGGAGAGGTCCTATCCTGAAGTGTTCATTAAACAGAGGAACCAGAATTTCAGAGAAGTACAGAGATGGTACTGCCAGGTTCCTGAAGAGTATGATCCAGGTCAGGGCTGGAAAGCAGGCCTAGAGGATCAGCCAACCTCTACCCATCCTGTTCTGGGACCTTCTCAGCAAGATCCTGTTTCCCACAAAGAATTGTCTGAGAGAGGGACCCAGAAAGCAGAGGGACCCAGAGAGCAGTGGGGTTCATCTTGATGACACTGAGGGTGCCAGGCACCATGCTAAGCCCTTTACCAATACTCCCTCCTTCAAACCTGCATCCATTTTACAGATGAAAACATTGAGACCCTGTTATTTCATTGTCTAGGGCTTCAAGGCTTGTAAGTAGACTCAGAACCCAAGCTGCCGACTCCAGAAATGCCATGATACCAGACGACCAGTTGGAGTTGGCCCTCAGTTTGGTATATCCATTTCTTCTGAAACTAACTCCCGCTCTGGGGTATCCACCTAACTGGGTTGTGCAAGACTCTGGACTTTTTTTTTTTTTTTTTTGGTCGGTCGTGGGGCTTGAACTCTGGGCTTGGGCGCTGTCCCTGCCCTCTTCAGCTCAAGGCGAGGGGTCTACCGCTCTAGCCACAGCGCCACTTCCAGTTTTCTAGTGGTTTATTGGAGATAGAGTCTCACGGTCTTTCCTGCCAGGCTGGCTTTGAACCTCGATCCTCAGATCTCAGCCTCCTGAGTAGCTAGGATTACAGGCGTGATCCACCGGCACCGGCTTGGACTCTTCTTTACTTTGAAAGTGTCCTGCCTGGGGCTGGGAAGTTGGCACAGTGGTAGAGCGCTTGCCTTGCATGCATGAGGCCCTGGATTCCATTCCTCAGCACCACATAAGAAAAAAGCCGGAAGTGGCGCTGTGGCTCAAGTGGTAGATCACTAGCCTTGAGCTGAAGAGCTGAGGTTCAGTGCCCAGGCCCAGAGTTCAGGCCCATGACTGGACCCCCCCCCCCAAAAAAAAAAAAAGAAAAGAAAGTGTCCTGCCTGTGGCTAAGCCCGCGTGACTATTGGACTTTCTGATGAAAGCCCCTCCTACTTCTGTCCCCCCCCCAATCCAATTCCCCTATTAGGGGAATTGAGGTGAGGGAATGGGAGGCTTACCAACTTGACAACTTATAGGCTTTGGACATGTCAACATCTTTCTGTGTGCCTCAGTTTCCTCATTAGTAAACTACTGGCTCACATGACTTCCTGCAGTAACTCCAACTCCATATAAACTGTCAGCTGGACCCATAAATGGGCTGGCTCTTGCCCAGTGTGCTGAGAATGGAACGGGAGGGGGTGGGCACAGAATCCAGGGCAGCTAGACTCAGTTGGATCTTAGAACCAGCTGGTGGCCACTCTGGGACCGTGCTCCTCCCACGACATTTCTGTCTACCCTGGGCTGCCTCTGGCCTAGGCGCTGCCTCCCGGGGACTCCTCTTCTTCCTCCCCTCTCAGCTCTGGCTCAGGAAGGAAGAGGAAGGAGGAAATAAAAAGTACTGTCCACCTAAAAGGGCTGTAGGCGGCAGAGCCGCTTTCTAGAGCCGGGGTGAAGCTGGGAGCTTGCTGGAAAGGCAACTCAGGGCGGAGGCCTGGAGGTGGAGGTCGGACTGGACAGCGGCCTCTGCCCTGAGGGCTCTGCCGGGAGGGGGCGCTGCGGCCCCGCGGCCCCCCGGCCCCCGCGCGCTGCGTTCCCCGCGGCGCTCCTTCCCCGTGCCGCAGCGCAGCACGCACCCTGCTTTCTGCTGGGCAGCGTCCAGTCCCGCTGGGCTGCACCGTCTCCCCTTTAACTGGGGGTGGGGGTTTGGGGAGAAGGGAGATGTCCCTAAATCCAGCCCCTTGCTAGAACCAAAGTGGGCAGGTGTTCAGTTTGCAAAATGAATGAATGAATGAATTAAAAAACCAATGTCGTCGAGGCCAAATTCCCCGAGGGTCGGGGCCCAAAGCCCTCCCCGCCCCGCCCCACCCCAGCGGCTCAGGGGGTGGCGGGGCCCGAACGCCGTTCCGGGCCTCACCCGGTCTCCGCGGCCCGGGGGCGACCCAGCTTCCCCCACAGTCTTTGGCTCTCAAGCCCGCCTGCGCCTGCCAGTCCCCTGCGGCCCCTGGGACGCCCGGCCGCGACCCCCGAGTGGCGGGAGGCCGCTTCCTCCCCCGCCGCCTCCCCGCCCCTCCGGCTTGTCCCCGGGCGGCGGCCGCCGCTGCCTGCGCGCCCCGCGGACTGCCGCAAACCCGGGCGCGGGGCGAGGGCGCCGGGACCCGAGGGGGCGCGGCGCGGAGGAGGGGCCGAAGGCGCGGGGCGGGTGAAAGAGGAGGGGACGGCGAGGGGGCGGGGAGCCGAGGCGGGCGGGGGAGGAGGCGGCGGGGCGGCGCGGGGCGACGCGGGCTCCGGCGGCCGCGGGACTCGGCAGCCGGGCTTGCCCGGGAAAAGCGAGCGACCGGCGCGCCGGGGCCAAGAGTGCAAAGCCGGGCGCCTCGGCGCTCACCCCGCACCGCCGGACTCCGCCGCCGCCGCCGGCCCCTTTGGAATGTCCGAGGGACCCAGGCGTCCGGGACGGTGACGGAGCGAGCCCGAGGATGGGACGGCGTCAGCTTCCGCTGGTCGAGGTAAGAGCCCAGGGATCGGCCGCGGCCGGCGCGGGGCGCGCAGGGGATGCGGGGGGCGCGAGGTGAGGAGCGCCAGGCCCCGCCGGGCACCGGCCGGGAGGAGACCGGGGCTCGGGGGGCAGCCCGAGCCCCTGGTCTCGGACCTTGCGAGTCAGGATTGGGTGGGTCTAGGTAGAGCTGGGGTGCAAAAAGAAATGATCGCGGAGGGGCTGCCGGGACGGTGGCGGAGGAGGGGTCCCCCCACCCCCGAACCGGCTCTGAGCCGAGGGTCGCTACCGGCTTGGCGGCTGAGGCTCAATCCCACCTCCCGCTCTTCTCTGCGGACCCCCTGCCTGGAGACCGGAGGCCCCAGCCCCCTTTCGCTGCACGGTCCTGGGCGTCCTTTCCGTTCCCTTCCCCTCCGCCCCAAGTCCTGAAGCTGCGCAGCGCCCGCTGCCCCGGGCCCCGGACCCGCACCACAGTCTGGGGCAGCGGCCCGGGCCCGGGCTCCTCCGGAGGCTCAGCACTGCAGCTCGGAGCGCGGCGCTCGCTCCCCGGCCCGCCGCTGCGCGCTCTCTGGCCAGCGGGGCTGGCGACGCCGTTCCAACGCCCCGGAGTTTAGGAAAGTCGCCAGGCGGCGTTAACAGCGTGTGCGGGGTGGAGTTCGCGGGCGGCGCGGGCGGCCGGAGCCCGCGATGGGCAAGGGGCTCCGGCAGCCAGGCAGCCGGTAGTGACAGCCGTTCCCCCAGCGCGACCCGGGGCACCTGGGCTTGCGGGGTGCCCAGCCGCGGGCCCCGGAGGCGGGCGCCCCGTGTCCAGGCCGGGGACTACGCAGGGGGCCCAGTGGGTCGTGGGCTGCACACCCGGACACCCCACGCTTTGACCGAGTTGAGTGCATCCCAAAGCTACTGCATTTAATTGAATGGATTTGGGGGTACGGGTTGACTGAATTTGATTTTTCATCAGTTATTAAACCGACTTACTTTATTTATGTTTTTTTTTTAACCCGCTGGCAAAGTGATTTATTAAACTACCCGGATTTTAAAGCGCAACTGATCGTCAGATGAGATTCCCAGTCGCCAAGTCTTCCCCATCCTGGCTCTCGATTCTCTCCAAATAGCCATAGGTTGTCTTTGAAAATGAAGAAAGGTGTGTCTCAGTGAACCCACCTTTCTTCTCCCACCCAATAAGGACTGAACCCCGAGATTGTTTTCTAGGTGATCAGCGATACCTGCAAAAGCAAGTAGGAGAAAAACATCTAGAGGTTGCCTGAAAGGCAGACAGTGGGAATATTTTCCAAAAGCATCGTGTGTTTCCCAACCTTGATCTGAATTCACAAACCAGTTAGAATTCAGTAGATTCAAATGATTGAACTTTGGGCATTTTTTTTAAAAGTTTTTTCAAGTTTTCATGGAAATAAATGTTCTTTCTCGGGGCTTTCTTAGAATTGTGTGCAGTTCTCTGTTTAGAATAATCATGTTTTCCTAAAGGAACAAAATGTCTTTTTTTCCCCCTGTTGCTCTTATTTCTAATAGATTGTGGGAGTGGGAAGCTTTATACCACCTAATAAACCCAGTGGGTACCTAGTAAATGTGGAATGAGCCAGGCGCTGTGAGTGGATATATTTATATAGCATGTATGAATTTCTGGGCATTGATCTAATTGCTTTGTACGTTCAATCAGTAAGTCATTGTAATAGTCCTAGGAAATACAGATTAGTCCTGTAGTATAGAGAGGCTAAGGCTAAGTCACACAGTCAAAGCCATACAGCCCAGGGAGTGGTGGAGTCAGAATTCAAAACCCAGCTTTGTGGTCTAAGACTTTGGTTTTTACTTGTCAATATTCTGAGCCACTTAAATCTCACCTTGAACCTCTGCCAGATGAGTTTGATTAGTTTGAAAGTAAGAATCCAGAGAATGTAGGGTTCACTCAAAATCCAGTTCTGTCCCCAATCTGTCAGCCATTGTTCGGAAGAGGTCATTCTGGGGCCTGTGGTGTGGGCTTTGGGTTGTACTGATTCCCAGAGCATTGAGGAGTGTGAGAGACATAGTGTGTGAGAGTGTGTGATTGAAGGAGAGGGGATATGTTATATATTTGGGGGTGAAAGGAAACCCTTGGGGTTGGGCTGGGGAGAGAGTGCCTGCTACCATGACCCACTGCTAGCTGCCACTCTCCCGGGAGAGATCTGTGTTCTGGCGACAGGTAACCTTGAGGGGTAGAAAAGGCCTGGCCTGGCTGGGTTCTTAAAGGGCAGTAAGTGCTGAGTGGAGAGCTGGTTTTAATGCTGTCATTATTATGAAAGCAATTGAGCAGCATTAGGCAAATTTGGGCAACGGGGCAGGGAGTGGGAATTATTGTGACCTCACTCCTAATACAGCTGCTGTTACCATTTTAGAAATAATCCCTGCAGGTTGTGTTCCCAGTCAGTCAGCACAGGTCTGGGTGGCCCGGTATCCTTCAGGTAGGACTCTTCTGCTGCTGTCATACCCCCAGTCTGTTTCATGACATTCCCAAGCCTTCAGAGGGATACATCTTATCTCTGTCTATTGCCCAAAAGTGGATCTACTTTTTTTTTTTTTTTTTTGGAGGGGGAGGTACCTGTCGTGGGATTTGACCTCAGGGCCTAGGGCTGTCCCTGAACCTTTTGGCTTAAGGCTAGTGCTCTTCCAACTTGAGCCAAAACTCTACATTGACTTTTTGGTCATTAATCAGAGATAAGGGTCTCACAAACTTTCCTGTTGGAACTGGCTTTGAACTTCGATCCTCAGATCTCAGCCTCCTGAGCAGCTAGAATTATAGGCGTGAACCACCAGCACCTGGCTAGATACATTTTTTTTTTTTAGAAGGCAGGCTGTACTAGGCTTTGAACTCAGGGATTTGTGCTCACTAGGCAGGTTCTCTACTGCTGAGCTATATCTCTTGCCCTTGTTGCTTTAATAATTTTTTCAAGTAGTCTCAACCTTTTGCCTGGGGCTAACCTTAGTCCTACCTCAGCCTCCCAATAGCTGTGATTACAGACTGTGCCACCAAGCCCTGTCCTCCATAAATTGATGTAGTCTGCCACCTCTATGTGGATGTACATGTTGGTCATTTCCAAATTGTTTCTTTGCTGAAGAAATACGTAGCCAGAGCCAGGTATGGTGTGCACATCTATAATCCCTGAACTCTGCAGGCTGAGGCAGGAGAAGTCTGAATTCAAGGCCAAGCTGGGTTAGCAAGATGACACTGCCTCAAACAGGAAAGAAAGAAGGAAGGAAGGTGGGGAAAAAAGAGAAAAGAAATGCAGAGCTGGGTTTTGAGGGAGAGTGGGAGGAAAGGGAGGGCAAAAATGTGAGCCAGATGTGGCCATGTCTGCTATGGGGTACAAGGCAGGAGTACAGTAGAAAAGGGGTCAAGGCCAAGGCCAAGGCCAAGGCCCAGCTACTTGAACCCGATAGAGCAGCCCTGGGACCTCACCAGATCAGCCTGTTCTCAAGGAGCATGGAAAAGCAAGACTCACCAGGGTCCATGAGCATGAGCTCAAGTAGAAAATTCACTTTGCACCCCTTGCTAACAAGCAGCTCCTCAGAGACTGCCACCACCAGCTGAGTTCAGCCACATAGAAGGCGTTGAAAGGGTCAGAGACGCCCTCTGGCTTCACCCCAACAGCCAGGATTTGTGCCAAGCCCAGGGGCCCTGACCTCCGGGCCACGAGAAGGCAGAATGACAGGGTGGTGTCATTCTCCTTCATACAAGGAGCCTCAGGTGCAGTCATAAAGCCACTGAACAAATGGGGAAAACCATTAGCCAGGCAGTCAGCGAACCTCACTTTGGTTCCAGCTCTGCCTCTGGTTGGCTGTGTGGCTTCAGATAGGTTGCCTTCTCTGGGCCACCGTTTCTCTGTCTGTAAATGGGTACAGAACTAGACTCCATTTTACCCTTTGGGTCTCTGTAACGGGGCTGTGATTCCAAACATTTGTCAGGGTGTGGTCTGATTTAAGAAGTGCAGGAACAATCGAACAATAGGTGTCACTCCAGGTTTGTCCCCCACACAGTAGGTGTGTAAAAGATGCGTGTGGGCCTGCTGGAGGGTTTTATTGATGCTATTTACATCTAGGTGGGAGCTCTTGCCTAAACCACCATGGCAGAAAAACCATCTCGATGTGGAAAAGACTAGATAAATTCCGCCTTCTGCCCGCTGCGGTTATTAAGGAAGACAAAGAAAACAGCAAATGGCCAACCCATATACAGTGATTTGGAGACCGTGGGGGGTGGAGCCTCGGCCCCTTGCGGCCTCTGTCTGGGGAAGGGTAGGTTGGGAATAAATGGCCTCTTCAGAGAGGGCTGGGGCCTCCCAGCTCAGACTCCGCCCCCATCATTCAGTCTCAGCAGAAAGAAGGGCAAGCCCCTTGGGGGAGGAAAGCAGCTAGAGATTTTTAGCTACCGTTTTTCTAGTCAAAGAAAGAACTTACTAGTTATAAATGATTCCTGCCTTATTCTTGGAGGCCCCTGCCAGCAAATATATGCTGAAAGATATAGTGTCAAACTGGGCACAGTGGCTCAAGCCTGCAATCCTAGCTATTTGGGAGGCAGGGATCCCCTGTTGAGGCCAGCTCAGGTATTAAAAGTTTACAAGACCCTGTTTTAACCAATGGCTGAGTGTAGAGCTATATGCTTGACATCCCCAGTGACACAGAAAAGGACAAGGACAAAGAACAAAACCCAGGCATACATCAAGACCCTACCTTAAAAATAACCAAGGCAAAAAGGGACTGGAGGTGTAGCGTAGCTCATGTAACATCGCACCTCTTGCGAATGGAAGACCCTGAGTTCAAACCCCGCAGGGAGGGAAAAAAAAAAAACCCAAAAAACCTACATCATTGATTTTCTTTTTCTTTTGTCAGTTGTGAGGCTTGAACTCTGGGCCTGGGCACTGCTCCTCAGCTCTTCAGCTCAAGGCTAGGGCTCTACAAGCCACAGCGCCACTTCCGGTTTTCTGAGTGGTTTATTGGAGATAAGAGTCTCCCAGCCTTTTCCTGCCT